AATGTGTTTAAAGTTTTTTAAAATTTCTGTGTTGTTGCTGTTTTTTTTTTTTGTTTGTCTTTTTTGCTCATGTAGATTTGTTGGTTTCTTTAAGCGCAAATCTCTGTCCGATGCGGGAAATCGAACCCGGATTTTTAGCGTTACAAGTCCTTAAACTTATCGCTGACTCGCAGAGGAAGCTATGCTCATGAAATTGTTTGTTTTTGTTTGTTTTTGAATTTCGCGCAAAGCTACCCGAGGGCTATCTGCGCTAGCCATCCCTAATTTTGCAGTGTAAGACTAGAGGGAAGGCAGCTAGTCATCACCACCAACTCTTGGCTTTTACCAACGAATAGTGGGATTGACCGTAACATATAACGCCCCCACGGCTGAAAGGGCGAGCATATTTGGTGGTACGGGGATTCGAACCCGCGACCCACAGATTACGAGTCGAGTGCCCTAACCATATAAACAAATAATGGGGTTTAGAGAGAAGTTACAGAACTCACTATGATCGTCATATCTAAACAAATAATGGAGTGGAGAGAGAAGTTACAGAACTCACTATGATCAACATGTATGTACAAGTTATTAAACACGGTCAAGTGAAGGAATCCTAAATCCAGATATAATAAATAAACAAGGTAAAACCCTTAGAAATACCCATAAATTAGCAAGTATACGTTTGGCTACTAAATGATTGCACTAATTAGTTGATGTGATAAATATCAACAAATAAACAGTACTACCAGATACATACAGCACTCAATATAATGTAAATAGAATAGTCAGCCAAAGTTAATACTAATATTCGACCAACATATAAGATATTTCCTTATTACACTGATCTGACGTGACGTGGAGGTTAATGTGTAATCTGTGTGTTTCCTTCTGATCTGACGTGACATGGAGGTTAAGGTGTAATCTGTGTGTTTCCTTATTACACTGATCTGACGTGACATGGAGGTTAAGGTGTAATTTGTGTGTTTCCTTATTACACTGATCTGACGTGACATGGAGGTTAAGGTGTAATCTGTGTGTTTCCTTATTACACTGATCTGACGTGACATGGAGGTTAAGGTGTAATCTGTGTGTTTCCTTATTACACTGATCTGACGTGACGTGGAGGTTAAGGTGTAATCTGTGCGTTGGGGGTTTGGATCCCGTCCCCGAATATACTCGCCCTTTCAGCTGTGGAGGAGTTAAAATGTCACAGTCAATTACACAGTTCGATGATAAAAATTATCCCAAGAGTTTCGATGTAGGTGGTGTTGCTAATTGCTTTCTCTCTAATCTAACACTTTCTCTCTAATCTAACACTTTCACTCTAATCTAACACTTTCTCTCTAATCTAACACTTTCTCTCTAATCTAACACTTTCTCTCTAATCTAACACTTTCACTCTAATCTAACACTTTCTCTCTAATCTAACAGATAGCAGATAGTCCTCGAGTAATTTTGAACGAAATTCATCACAATAAACACATCTTCTTAAATTAAATATATACATATATACACACACACTAACGGTCAATTGTAGCCATTATTGGGCTGGAAATTATTAATAAATTAAATGCTGAACTTTAAACTCAGCTGAATATTTTTTGTGAAAAATGTGACTGAATGTATAAGCACTGTTTATGAATAATTAATTCTAACTATGAACTTATTCTATTGTATCTTATGACTTGTGAGCAATAAACATCGAAACTTGATTTGTTAGAAATATTTGTATTATGAACTGGAAAATGTATAGCTTTGGAATTAAAAGTGTCGGAAAACAAGATTTTATAAAAGTCTTTTTTTTCGAATATTATTATTCACGTATTGCCCAGTATGCATATAGAAACATCACTAAGCTAAATGTATTAATATTAGGTACGTCAAAATAAATAAATACGTGATACCGTATGAGCATTTAGAAGACTTTTTTCAATGACCTTACGATATTTAATCAGTGTACTGTGTATTGCTAACCAAAACATGTTCATAATTTCATTTATAGATCTGGTGAAATGGCGTTTAAAACAGTCAATATTTTAACACTGATTTCTACAAATGTCTGATGCATATCCTTTGGATTGCTGTGGAATGTTTCATTTATTTGGACAGGTAGTGTATAATAATTCATCCTTTACTCTCCGTTTCCAGCATAAAAATAATAATTTTTCAAGAAAGGATCGCCTGCTATTTATAATTACAGCATTATATAAACCTTACTATATTCCTTACATTTGTAGAATATAATAGCTTTGTCTTTTTCTCGTAGTTCTATCTGGTGGAAAAGAAAAGCGCCCCGAAAGAACTAATAGCTGGGATTGTAAGCCATTCAGAATTTTTATCCTATTATTTACCAAGCGTTTTATCATCTGCATTCCATTTAAATACATTTGAATTGTTCAAGGTTTTGAAAGAAAAATATGCTAGCTTTAAGAGGTTGCAGAACTTACGTAAAGGGTTTACTCACAATTAAAAACACCTGTCCACAATTTAAAACAAAAACTTTTCGCGCCCCAAATTTCATCTTTCTTTCACATTCAACTCATTAAACAAAAGGAAACCTCTCACCGCGGGGTTAGTTAGACAATAAGTCAATTGAACTTGCGATGAAATTATTTAATAAGAAGGAAGTAATATAAGTAATATAAGTTTGTATTCATAGACTGGAGTGTTTGTCAGATACGATGGGAGCATGTGGCTTACAGCTGGAGTGAAACCTTTCTACTGGTAATTTTTCTTACCCGATTATTCGATATTCACACCTTTTTATGTAAGTCTGCTATATTAACTTATTAATCTCTTTTATTTTTATTTATTTTTTTAAAACTATAAACTATCTCACTTTGATATATCCATTTTACTATTGTAATTTGATCCGATAAAACTGGATAATTTGCTAATGGCATTACATCATATGATCAAATCTTATGTCGCACTAATGTAATTAAAAACAATAAACAGAAAATAGGCGTTCGGATACGTTTTTTTAGCGCGCGTGCAACTATGTGAGTTTAAAAAGACATGTGAAAATAAATATTTCATCATATAGATTGTAATTACACCAGTTTGAATTTACTGATCTTTAATTTATTAAACAAAAATATTCATTCTGTGATCCAGGTATGAAAGGGTAGCTACTTGGTTTACTTATTGATACTTCATTCTGTGATCCAAATATGAAAACGTAGCCACTTGGTTTACTTCTTGTAAAGTTAATTCATTCTGTGATCCAAATATGAAAGGGTAGCTATTGGATTATTTTTTGTAAAGTTACTTCATTCTATGATCCAAGTATGAAAGGGTAGCCATTTAGTTTACTTCTTGTAATGTTACTTCATTTCGTGATCCAAGAATGAAAAGGTAGCCACTTAGTTTACTTCTTGTAATGTTAGTTTATTATGTGATCCAAGTATGAAAGGGTAGCCACTTAGTTTACTTCTTGTAATGTTACTTCATTTCGTGATCCAAATATGAAAGGGTAGTCACTTAGTTTACTTCTTGTAAAGTTAATTCATTCTGTGATCCAAATATGAGATGGTAGCTATTGGTTTATTTCTTGTAAAGTTACTTAATTCTGTGATCCAGGTAAGAAAGGGTAGCTAATTGGTTTACTTCTTGTAATATTACTTCGTTCTATGATATAAGAATGAAACTTGTGTCAATGTTACTGATATGGTATGGCTTAACCAGATATTCCACTGCAGACAACACTTTTTTTGTGATGTGTTGCTTGTTTCAAAGGTTGATAAAATGCCATACGGAGGTTATCGACCAACGAAAACCCTATGGTATAGTTACATATAAATCTGAGGAAACCTTGGCTTAATGTTATATTCAGCATATTGTGCCTAATCGATCTTGAATCTGATGCTGCTAGATGTTCTTCGAAGTCATTTAGCTGGAAGATTGCGTTGGTAGACCAAGAACGCAAGAATGGAAGAGTAACAAGAAAATCCCTGTGTAATTTTAGGTGGAGTCATTAAAGTATATACAATACACTGTTCACTAGTAACACGTGAAGCATAATCCTGATCTGAAATAAAAGAATATAGATGAAACCTAATTTAGCGATAATTTTGTGTACTTTTAGATTTATACGGTTACTGAATCCTAGTAAATCTTTAGAGAGAGCGTTTTCTTTGTTTAAAATCCTATGTTTTTACTATTGACTTCTACGTAAGTTCTTAATAGCAGACGAGATGAAGCTAGTCAAAGAAAACAAAAACAACTTAAGTCATTTATAGGGAAAAATGCAAAATATTTCAAACTTCTCAAAACAACCATTCTTGAAAATAACAATGATAACGAGAACAGTTTTAATGGAGCACGAATATTTCATAAATCGTAAACTTCAGAATAATTCCAGTACTGCAGCTTAATTACATTAAAATATATGCGTAATCTTTTTTGAGCAAACCGTAAATCTTTTAATTTTATCATAGTACGGATATGAGTGTAAAATGGTTAGGCTTAAGTTGTTGTTTTTCTCATGCACTACATCTGTATTTACCATGTAACGAATATAAACAGGCAAACGTTTAAAAAAGTAAAATTAGTTCAAAAAGTAGCACTATACAGTCTATAAAAATCACCCTTTCACGGTTGGGTACAAAATATTAGCGTAAGAAATATATTTTAGTAAGATAAATATTGAATAGGCTTAAAAAGCATTTCGTTTTATTTACCCTAAATATGAGGACAAAGATTATAGTCGCTGATTTTTGTACGTGGAGATTATATAATTTTTCTGTAAAGTTATTCAAATGACTTATAAGAGTATTTGTTTTTTCGTGACATTTGCATTTTCGTTTTAAAGAAATTTTAGAAGCGTAAGTATAAAGGTAATATTTTGGACGGGCTTGTACTGCGTTCTTAATACGCTTTTGAATTAAGATTATTTATTAATTATTTCTTTTGTAAAAACAGTTTTAGTCCATGTGAACTAAAAAAAGTGTGATAGACAAGAATTAATTTTTTTATACAAGTATAGTAAATTATTTTCATTACTTTCCAAACTTTTCACTAAAGAATATTTTGAATATGCAAATATAACTAATATACTTTGTGCTCGTTTGTCGTTTGTAAATAAATACAGTAAAACGAATGTTGTGTACTATATTTTGTACTCAAAGCAAGGATGGCAACTACAACGAAACGCTTTACTGTTGTTGATTTTTCCAGAAAACCCATAGAAACTGGTGGAAATTGATAATCTATTAAAAGTGACCTATGACTTCGCTTGTCAAACGTATTTGATCTAAATAAGTCAATTTGAAACCGTTTTAATTACATTACTAATCTACTTTCAAAATACACACATTTTCAGTTCCCAGAGTCGAGATCTACGTCTTTGCTGGAAGAAACGCCGACTTGCCATGTAACATTACTCCAAATTATCCTGATGACGAGATATCCCTTGTACTGTGGTACAACAACAAATCGCCATCTCCACAGTACAGCCTAGACTCAAGAAGCGGGAATTTTGATCGTGCTAGACATTGGAAAAGTGACCAGTTGGCATCTCGAGCCCATTTTCACATCCACACAGAACCTGCTTATCTACAACTAGATCATGTAACTTCGGAGGACGAAAGTGTCTTTACGTGTCGGGTGGATTTTGAAAGAGCCAGGACACGCTACCAGGAAGTTGGTCTAAACTTAATAGGTATTCAAAACTTTTAGATATTACAAAACAAAAGGGTAATATTTTACCACAGTAATGTACAATTTGAAAAATACCATTAATAGTTTTGGAGTTATTTATTTCATGAGCTGGCCCGGCATGGCCAGGTATGCTGATCATAAGTATTTCTTTAACTTCTCTCTCCACCCTATTATTT